GGCATTGAGGGAATGAGTTGATAGGAAAGAGCTGAAATGATTCTTAATGTCCAGCTCATATGCATGTGCAGTTTTTCATTTTTTATTATTTTATAAGGAGCGCAGTTCCACCAAATAAAGGGTGTTGGGAGGAACCTCCCAGGATGGGAGAAGCATGCCGAAAGTAGACTCTAGACCAAACATGATTGCCACTCAATGCCTCTTTTGCAAACCACAGCACCCAAAAGGAGAGAGAGAACAAAAGGGAATGCCCTGCCACAGAGGCAGGGTGGGATAGGGGGGATGGGGGGTGGGAGGGATACTGGGATTCCTGGCGGTGGGAAATGGGCACTGGTGGAGGGATGGGTATTTGATCATTGTATAATTGAAATCCAAGCACAAAAATTTGTAAGTCTACAACTGACCTCATGGTTTGTCACTAATAAAAATTAAATTAAAAAAAATAAGGAGTGCAGTTCTCAACTCTAATGCTAACGCACTGGTATATCTGGATGGGTTGATTAGCAATTTGAATTAATTAATCAATAATATGCTGCATGGGTGAATTTCCAGGACAACATCTTTCACTGGGATGTATCTTCCCAAGTTGCAAAGAAAAGTATTTGTACATAATTCACACCTTAACTCAGACTTTAACATATAATCTGATGTCTGTTGCCTACAATTGCCATCCATGGAACATTCTGGATGAACTGATAGAAAAGGGTGAGCTCTCTGTCATAAGATATACTTTGGGAATAGGATAGGTTGATTTGTAGGTATTGGCATTTTTGTGTGTCTGTGAAAAACTATCTTTCAAAAGATATTTTGCATTCCGAACTTACTATTTATTAATCTTATTCATATTGCTGTTACTGTTTTTGGCATATCAAATATACATTGGGCTGGAGCGACAGCACAGCAGGCATTTGCCTTGCACGTGGCTGACCCGGTTTCGATTCCTCCGTCCCTCTTGGAGAGCCCAGCAAGCTACTGAGAGTATCCTGCCCACACGGCAGAGCCTGGCAAGCTCCCCATGGCGTATTCGATATGCCAAAAACAGTAACAACAAGCCTCACAATGGAAATGTTACTGGTGCCCGCTCGAGGAAATCGATGAACAATGGGAGGACAGTGCTAACAGTGCATTCATATTGTTATGTTTTATAAAAATACATTCTTCATAGATTTGATGAGTGTTATATCCTTTTTACAGATGGGGAAATTAAGACTTGCAGTGAGATGGAATGACAGGTAATGATCATATACCTTCTCCTGGGCTGAGGATACAGGTTTTCTGAAGTGCAGCGTCAAGTGCTAGTCTAGTAGAGTCGGTGAGTCTGCATGACAGAATGCTCTAGGGCTGGAGAGATGTTCAGTGGGCTGAGAGGATGTTTTGCATGTGGGAGCCTGGGCTCAATCTCTTGTTTGAGATTCCCCCAAGTACTACAGGAGTCACCCCCAAGTCCCAGAGCACTGCTTGACATGTCCCCCCAAAATAAAAAATATCAGTCCACCAAAATAAAAATAAGTGATAGAACCTGGTATGAGTCATATTTAAGAATATCGCATGAAAAAGGAGTGATCCAGTAGACAGGGTTTCAAGAGAGGACAACAGGGACAAAGACAACAAGGTATTGAGGGAGCTTGGTGCATCTGAGGACGAAGTCTGTGAGAACAAGCCACTGGAAGAAAGAGAGAAAATAAGGCTGGAAAATAAAGCAAGAGTCACATTTGTCTCCAAATAGGAGGCAAATGGGAGAGGATAATAAAAGAAGGACTTGTCCAGCTGGGATGAGACTTTGAAGTGTCTTTGAAGTGTTTGTTTTTGTTTTTGAGTCACTCCTGTTAGTGGTCAGGGCTTATTCCTGGCTCTGCTTTCAGGACTCACTCCTGGTGGCCTCAGGGGACTATATGAGATTGAACCTGGGTAAACATGCAAACGCCCTACCTGCTGTACTATCATACTAATACGTTGGCCCCAAGAGACTGAGATTTCATACCAAGGGTCAAGAGAAGCTGTGAAGAAGCTTTATAAGAGGGAACAAGCTATTGAAAGAGAATATTTCCTAGTTTATGCTGCTTGGTTGCAGGTTTCAACAGAGGCATTTATTTTCTGCTTTCTTTTCAGACGTAATAGTCTGGAGTGTGATTTTCTCACCTAGCAAATGACTGGGAAAGAAAACAAGAAGATAAAGAGAATCAGGAACATTGGTGGAATATGAATACATTTAGTAGAAAAAGGAAGTTTGAGGGCATTAATTTATTTATTCTACTAACCTTTATTGGGCACTTTTGATTTTAGACACTGAGAAAGATATCATTAATGTCCTTAATGTAGGTTGGAAGCAGGGTTTTATATGCAGGTATTAAGTGGCCATCATGTTCGGTCTATAGTCTTCTTTCAGCACGCATCTTCCATCCGGAGTGGGCCCTCAAAGCACCCTTTACTTGGTGGTCCTTCTCTATCTGAGCTGCCTTTCCCCGCCAGCATGTGAGGCTGGTTTTCAAACCGTGGAGAATTCTCCTGGTCCTTATCTCTACTACCTTTGGGTGTTAGTCTCACTTTCTGTTACTTTATATTCCACAAATGACTGCAGTTCTTCTATGTCTGTCTCTCTCTTTCTGACTCATTTCACTTAGCATGGTACTTTCCATGTAGTACCACTTGTATGTAAATTTCATGACTTCATCTTTTCTAACAGCTGCATAGTATTCCATTGTGTAGATGTACCAAAGTTTCTTTAGCCAGTCATCTGTTCTTGGGCACTTGGGTATTTTTCCAGATTGGAAGGACCAATTTTTGTGAAAGAATTTAGTAACAAATCAACAGGGAACAGTTGGGAACAGAGAGGAACCAAATGGAGATGAGTCTAAGCAGGATGAGGGGGGAGGGACAAACAGACCAGAGTTTAAATAAGAGAGGAATTTGACCTTGCATAATTTACCAAGTACGTACTCTTTTGATAAGCATCATGTTAAGTGCTCAATCCACTATCCCAATGAATTCTTCCAATAATCCTAGAATAGGAGCACTATTCTCACAAACAGCCCCATTTTGTAAACGGGAAGACTGAGTCTTAAATTGTTGGAAATAATAAAAACAAGACTGAAAGTGGCAAAAAAACCCCCCCCCACAACAATGTTAAGGAGCTTCTAAAAAAAGAAAGAAAACTCACATATGGGGCAGGAGAAAGTGCCTATCTTGCAAACCTAGTGCTGAGGTCAATCCCTGGTACCCACAACACGTGTGACCAGTATGATCTGTCAGCTCTGCTGTTTGTGACAGGCAACTCTCCTGTCTGAGATCTCTAATCAGTTTCTAGCAACACTGTGGCCAGGTATGTGCATGCATCACAACTAAAGGTGTTAACCCCTGGTGAGCACTGAACTAAAAAGATATGAAAGCAGTGAAGTCCGGAGAGTGACCCCTGGTGAACATATGTGTGAATCCTAGTGAGAACTTCTGGGATATATATGAATACCATAACTAAAAGGAGTGATTCCCAGTGAGCACTGCAGACTGTGGAACCTGATGTGGATTTCCAGCAAGTACCACAATTCACAATGTGCAAGCACTACAGTCAGACATCATTACAACAACATTAACAGAAGAAAGAAAAAGGGGGATGATTATATTTAATTAGAAACTCTGGAAACTATTGAGTCAGAGAAAACTTGACTTGATAGAAACAGTCAAAACAAAATTTGAAACCAGAATGATCTAAACTAAACGTTGTAAATTTTCTAAGTAATTGAAATTTGATGGAAGTACAAAGTATTATTGCCAAAATTTATATCTGGAAAAATATTGGCCCAGAAAGCCTGGATTCGGATGTTGAATACAAAGGAACATTTATGGTAGAAAGTTTGATAAATTTATTATGTGTGTAAAAACTCATTGATAAATCAATTTGTTACTCTAGATTTAAAGAGGAAGAGATTTTATTTTAATAAAAATAATTTTGGTAAAGTACAAAAATTCTGAAAAAATGTAGAAATAGCTTAATTGTACTCTATAGAATATTAAATATGGAATGAAACTGGCTAAATGGCATTTTATCCAGAAGAAAAAAGTGCTTACACACATATCATGGACACGGTCTTCCGGTTCCTCGATTTGCTTGAGCGGGCCCAGTAACATCTCCATCGTGAGACTTGTTGTTACTGTGTTTGGCATATTGAATATGTCACGAGTAGCTTGCCAGACTTTGCTGTGAGGGTGAGATACTCTCGGTAGCTTGCCGGGCTCTCTGAGAGGGGCAGAGGAATCGAACTCTGGTCGGCCATGTTGGCTGTGTGCAAGGCAAATGCCCTACCTGCTGTGCTATTGCTTTAGCCCTACACACATATATTGCAGATAATAGTATGGTTTTGACAAATATATTTGAAGTTGTTAACATGGATTCTTTGGACCCCAATTTTGAGATAAATATTTTTTTTTTGACTTTTTGCTGTGACCTAAAAGGAAGTGGAGAAGCTAAAGAGAGAAAGTGGGTTTTTTTGGGGGGTGCGGTTTGGGTCACATCCAGTGATGCACCGGGGTTACTCCTGTCTCATGCACTCAGGAATTACTCCTGGCGGTGCTCAGGGGACCATATGGGATGCTGGGAATTGAACCCGCGTCAGCTGCGTGCAAGGCAAATGCCCTACCTGCTGTGCTATAGCTCTAGCCCTGAGAGGAAGTGTTTTAACCCGAAGACCTTTGAGGAGGAGAGTCATGGTAGTTTGTGGATGCTTCTTGAAAGACTGTTTTGGATTCAGAGACACAAATTTGGTCATGTTCCTTATAGTGTCCATTGCTTTCACTCTTTACTATCTATGCTTCTAGAGCCCAAAGATTTCACATATTCACATATTAAGAAAAGCGTTGTTTCAAAATGAGAGGTTGTGAGAAATATGTTTCAGTCAACTTTGTGAAGGTGGGAAATAACTTTCAAAATTAAGGACAGTAGGGACGAATGGGCACATGAGAGGAGATGCTTTGTATGGAGAAAGGACCATTTAAAAGTTTCTTGATTTACTCATAATGTAATCTTAACAGTGAACCCACAGTTTTCATTTACATTTCATCTTCAATGAACATTTGGAAATCTTCTCTGAATTTCACATAAAGTTTATAGAATGGACACCTAATAATTATCTATTAAAATATAAAGTAGCATACAAGTGAAAAATAACAAGTCTGCACCATTAGTTTCTTAGCATCTATACATTACTTGTAAACATGGATATTTAATTCTGTGGTCAAATTATTCTTTAAATAATTTGAATTAAAAGACTACTTATTAAGAATGTTAATTTATCAAAATATAAAGTATAAAAGTTGTACAAACGTAAGAAATATACCTTATGGAATAAACTAAATACATAAAATATGATATCTTTAAATATACTCACTCACTAATTTATTCATTTATTAAAGAAATTTACCTGGATGCCCACTTGTGAAAGGCCTGGGGCTAAGTTCTATGGATATAAAGTTAGTTTTTTGCTTTTTGGGTCACACCCAGCAATGCTCAGGGGTTACTCCTGGCTTTGCACTCAGGAATTACTCCTGGCGGTGCTTGGGGGACCATATGGGATGCTGGGGATTGAACCCGGGTCGGCCGCATCCAAGGCAAACGCCCTACCCGCTGTGCTATCGCTCCGGCTCCTGGATATAAAGTTGAATAAGGCATAATCCTGCTTATAAGCAGCTTAAAAACTAGTAGAGTTTTTCAACAGACAGCAAAAGTAGTGAGTAAGAAGCAATTTCTAATGGGAAGAACAATGAATACTTTTTGCTTGGAGTGTTAATTTGGTTGTTTTGGCAAAAGCTTCTTTCTTTTCATAATAGGCAGCCTCATTTACAAATACTGGGTATACCGTACTATCTCCACCCAATGGAATAGTCTTTCCATCAAGAGTTAAAAACACGGGATCCCCAGGATGCAACGGCTTCCAGTCTTGATCCTTTCAGGAAACAATAAAACACATTAATTACATTTTTTTTTCTCTAAACCTTGTATGTGAAGATCTTGACACCTAGAAGGCTGAAAGATGGCTCAATGGCAAACACAGGCTGTAAGCTCAAACCTCTTGCTTTGACATGATTAGGTCAGTCTTATTGCTTGTGATTCCCATCAAGAAGGAACAGGAAGATGGCATAGTGCTTGTATAGCAAGTGCAAGGCTGTTTGTTTGTTTATTTATTTAGTTTTTTTAGATGGTGCTCAGCTGTGCTCAGGTCTTACTCCTGGTTCTTTTCTTACTGAGATTACTCCTGGTGGTGCTTGTGTGAATATGCCATGCTGGAGACTCAACCTGGGCAGTATGCCAGGCAAATAACTTGCACTGTGCTAACTCTCTGGCCCAAGGTTCTGGTGCCACCGGCACAGGCTGAGGCCATCCTGCAGTTCAGTATCCCCAGAGAGAAAAGGGCCTGGAAGATGGGTTAGTGATTTAGAAAGCTCTCAGACTAAGCCTGAGTGCCTAATCCTTGGTGTTGTGCTGGTTTGACTCGTGGCCTAGAGGGAAAAAGTCTAAGAGAACTAACAGAATTATGCCATTGTGTTCTTCTAAAAACTATATGACTATGGGAAGGATCTAACTTCTAAATATCTGTTTTATTTTATGTTTTAATATAGTAATTCCTACCCATGGCACTTGAGTAGGAATTTTACCTTTTCTTAGAGGGGTTCTGACTGCCCTTCCCCTTCCTCATAATTTAGTTAGAGCAGTTGGTTATCTTCACACTTTTGTTCGTGGGGATATCTGAGTTCTTTACCTTATTATCCCCAAGCACTCATATTTTATATCATAACTTAGACATATATATACATATACATATACTATAAATTCCATGAAAACAGAGACCATGATCACTGACATATCCCCAGAGCAAATACAGGATGTATCCAACTACTATCTACTAAGTGGCCTGAATCTATCACCTCCAACGCAGTGTCTGAGAGCATCAGTGAGTCATGTGTGTAAAACATTTTACAATTTCTGAACTGTAAGGTTCTAGTCAAAGGTAGGACATTACCATTTTGAATATCTTAAAGAAATAGCAAATATTACCTGAAGATTAGGGTGGATAATAGCAGTAATTTCTCCACTTTCATTCCTGGGATAATCAACTTTTTCTATTATTTTATAGACTTCAATAGCACAGGGAGGAAATTCTTTTCCTAGGAAAAAATAATATATATTGTTATATATATATGTATATAGTAACTTTAAAAAATCCTGTAAAGGGAAGTTGGTATTTTAAGGAAGGAAGAGCAATATCCACAACCCTCAAATGAAATAGACAGTTACAGGGACAGCAATTCTATACTTAGTTAAGAATATTCATAAACAACTCTAAGCCAAAAAGAGTTCTTGAATTATCCATACTGCCCACAAGCATACTGCTTGGTGGAAACCAGACATAAAGCCAGTATGGAAAAAAAAACATCTTGGATTGTAAGACAAGTGATCTGAGCTCTAATTTCTTAGCTGTTCAATAGTGATCAAGAATTGAAACTTCTAGAGGCTTGCTCTTTACTGTCAGATGGAGGTTTTGAATTTTTTCTTTTGGCGGCCCTTGCAGCTCTGACATTGTTTGAAAGCGTATCTCCAGCAGGTTAGGTGACCTTTCTCTTTACTATGTTGAGCACTTGGACAGCTGAGCTGTGAGATCTTGGAATGCTGACTCTTTGCTAAAGCCACCCTACCTTCCAAAGATGTGAAATATTAAATGTCCAATGCCCAGAAACTTGGAAAAGAAGCTGTTTATATATGTACCACCGTATGTCCCATAATATGATACAGTGGACAAAACATACAATGCAATGTCCCACATAGGTCCCATAATATATTATGATTACAATCTGAAGGGAATCTTCCTTTTCTTTTAGAGCAGAAAGTACCGACAGCTGTGATTACTTCTGGATCAATTTTTGCTGCTTAATACACTACCCAGAGAATTTGGTGACATGAAATAGTACTTTAACTCATGGGTCTATGGATTGTTTGGGAAGTTCCTCTCATCTAGGCTGGCTTGCTGATTTTTTTTCTTTTTTTCTTTTTGGTCTTCTGCCCCCACGTCTGACTGTCCTCGCTCGCCGGGACCCCTTGGAGGGGAGTGGGTTGAGCTTTCCTCCCTGCCCCTACCAGGGCTCCGGCAGCCAAAGACCTCCAGGACCAGCCACCACCATGCTGAGACCACTCTCCGCACACATGAAGGTACTGGCAGAGGGACAAAGTCACGTGGGTTCCGGGGCCGAGATCTCCAAGCCTACTCGGATTTGGGCTGAGCATCCTCCACCCAGATCCTCCAAATTCCAGTAGGCGGGGGTCACACCCACCAACTGGGCCCCTGGCACCGTGTAATCCCATCAGCGGCCAAGACTCAGAGACTATAAAAACCAGCTCCCGAAACCGTGCGGCTGCATTTAAGGTCGCGTGACATCTGATTATGACATCTTATTATCTCATTCCTACTTTGGACAAACTGGCAGGTTACCGAATGTTGCCTGCCCACAGGGCAGAGTCTGGCAAACTCCCCTTGGCGTACCCAATATGCCAAATACCAGTAACAATGATGGGTCTCATTCTCCTATAGAGCCTTGAATATAATCTCAGGGCTAGGATGAAGGAGACGTTACTGGGGCCTGCTCGAGGCAATCGACGAATAACAGGATGATTTGTGATTTTGTGATTGTGATTTCTTTTTGGTGTTCAGGGATAACTTCTGGCTCTTCCTTCAGGAATTACTCTGAGTGGTGTTTGGGAGACCATGCTGAGGATCAAACCTGTGTTTTCTGTGAGCAAGGCAAACACCTTACCCACTGCTTTATCTCTCTGGCTCATAATTCAATTTATTTTAAATTAAATTAATGCAGTTATTTAGATTAAGGGGTTGGAGCGATAGCACAGCTGTAGGGCGTTTGTCTTGCAAGCGGCCAACAGGGCCGACCCGAGTTCAATTCCTCTGCCTCTCTCGGAGAGTGCGGCAAGCTACCAAGAGTATCCAGCCCGCACGGCAAAGCCTGGCAAACTATCTGTGACATATTGGATATACCAAACACAGTAACAAGTGTCACAATGGAGACGTTACTGGGCCTGCTCGAGCAAATCGATGAACAATGGGAGGACAGTGACAGGGACAGTGATTTAGATTAAGACCTTCCCCTCTAGTATTTATGTTAATCAATTTTGTGTGTTCTCTTACATATTAATATACATGTGTGTACGTGTATATATATGATTGTCTACAATTTACTTTATTTTGTGGTTCGCCGAAGTAACCACTGAGGGCTGGAGCGATAGCACAGCGGTAGGGCGTTTGCCTTGCACGCAGCCAACATGGCTGACCCAAGTTCGATTCCTCCACCCCTCTCGGAGAGCCCGGCAAGCTACCGAGAGAATCTCGCCTGCACGGCAGGGCCTGGCAAGCTCCCCGTGACGTATTCGATATGCCAGACACAGTAACAATAAAGTCTCCAATGGAGACGTTACTGGGCCCGCTCGAGCAAATCGACGATCAACGGGAGGGCCTTTACTTACTTTACTTTACTTACTTTATTTCAGTTAACAATGTACTTTAATCATCTTTCCGAGTGATTTTTTTCAAACTGGTGGATATTTAGTTTTTTTCTTTTTTTCTGTCACAATGTCATAATAACTACCCTATGTAGCACACTGAGAGTGCATGTTCTTATGCTTCTTTGAGATGTGGAACTACAGGAACAAAGGTACATTTATGAAACTGCTAGTACATTTATAAAGTGGATACTGCAAAATATCCCCTGAAATGTTGTTTACAACATATATCAATAGACACTGAAAGTATCCTCTCCTAAGCTCCAGCAACACTTAACATTTATCAGATTTTAATTTTTCCCCCACACAAAGGGAAAAGTAGTTTCTCATGTAAACTTGTGCTTCTCTAAGAGTTATAATATTAGAAATCCTCTAATATATTTATTGGACATTTGTTTGTCTTCACCTTTTACAGAGATTACTAGGAAATAGAGATAATTAGGAAAATAAGAATTTTACCTGAGGAGATTTCCTTAGTACATACTTTCATTGAATGTGGCTATTCTGGTCATTGAGGAATAGGTAACACTGTCCTCCCATTGTTCATCAATTTGCTCAAGTGGGCACCAGTAACATCTCCATTGTGAGACTTGTTTTTGGCATATTTTTTGGCATATTGAATACTTTACGGGGAGCTTGCCAGGCTCTACTGTGTGGGCGGGATACTCTCAGTGGCTTGCTGGTCTCTCCGAGAGGCACGGAAGAATCAAACCCAGGTCGACCGCGTGCAAGGCAAAAACCCTACCCGCTGGTTAGTACTTGGATGGGAGGAATGGGTAAAGATAATAAATTTAAAAAATCACCTAACATCATGAGAGTGGCAAATCTGACCAAGGTTGCAACTGCTACTGCAATATTCAGTGGGTAATGTTATATGCAATTATCTAATTTTTCCTTTCCAATATAGACACACAGGCATACAGTCACAGACACATATACACATGCATGTGTGTATGGGCACATGCATGCACAACACACAATTAAGGAAACAGCTCCATTCTACCACTTACCTTCATTGAAATTATATATAAAATCAAGAGCATGTTTAATCATTGTTCTCATCTGATCCAAAATATCAGCTCTCAGAACTCCTTGAGGCTGGGGCCCAACTTCTATACCTTGATACAAAAGGGTAAATGGTCACATTTATTTAGAATTAGAATATATTATAAATTTGAACATTTTAACATTTTAAGAGTCAATAAAAATGATTTAAAAAGTGAAAGATTTATGCTATCTGAAGAGAAACCAGAGTTGTAAAAATTATTTAAAATTATTTAAACTCTGAAGCTTCATGGAAAATACATGAGACATAATGGTAGGCAAAAAACATAGCAGAACATTTATGAGTGTGAATTATATGCATCGTGAATAAAGACTGGGTAAGACAAAAAAGAAGTCAGAGTTATGTTAGAATAATGAGATATTGGGACCTTTAAAAATATCTTTTAATAGCATAAATATTTATAAATCATAAAATTTATAAAAAGAGGTAGAAAATTGTGTAGTTAAAATCATAAGTGTCTGCAAAGAGAAACGTTTATAGACATTAATATTTAGCTTAAGCAGGAGAAAAGAGATTTATTTTACTCATAGAAATCTAGACTAGATGAGCTAAGGGTTAAGGCAACACTAAATAATTTGTCAAATAGGTGAAAATGTGCTTGTGAATGTAAAAGAAATTGTTGGTGGCCTACTCCAAATCCATTCCACTTCCTTCATTGCTAAAAGAGCCCTGATTTTGGTTAGGTATTCAGTATTTGAGGTGGTTGGGACTTTCTATAGCTTAGACATAATGTGGAATAGATCATGTCAATCACAGTCATCTTATAACTTTAGTAACTATTTGGGAACAATATGTAATCCAGTTCTGATCAAGTGGCACTAATGGAAAGTCTTTAGGGAAGTTCATGAGAATCTCCTTTCTTCCACTATCTACTGTCACATAGCTTATGATCCTTGAAATTACAGTGGACATGTTGTGGCCCTGGGCATATCTAGTGGGATGCTAAAGATGGCAGACCAGAAAGAACAAATCCTGGCTTCTCTTGATGTTGTTGAGCTGTTATGTAAAACAGTAAAATACTTCTTAAAGTCAATTTGAGTTTCTTACAGTCAAATCCATTCAACATATTCATATTTGTTTTGAAAGTGGGTTTGGTGTGGGAGGTCTTTTGGTGGAGAGGACTGATGAAAAGCAGGAACAAGACAGTCAATAAAAATGCTCTCCTTTCTTATTATGAATGAATGATAATTGGTAGAATAACCACGTTTTTAAAACCCAAACTAATTCTGACACAAGATTTTATTCCAGAAGAGAATAGTTAAATTTATAAAATGTGGCCATAGCAGAGTCAGGAATAGAGTAGGAATAATGGTCTTAGAAGGAATTTTTAATTTTTTGTTTTTTGGGGTCAAATTAGACAATGAGACTATATTTAGTGCCAAGGATTAGACTAAAGTCTGCTGCCTATAAGGCAAGTACATCATACATGTGAGGTAGTGCTCTATGGCTGAGTTATATCTTCAGAAAAACTTTGTGTGTGTGTGTGTGTGTGTGTGTGTGTGTGTGTGTGTGTGTGTGTTTGGGGAGGGGGGTCCACACCTGGCAGTTCTCAGATCATACTCCTCTGCACTCAGGGATAATTCTCCAGAGGTCACTGGAGAGTCAGGTTTGGGCCTGCAGTGACGAGACACGCGGGGCCTCACCAGATGGGAGTGGAACCAGCCCTTTCCTCCCCATCCCAGCAAGACCCCAAGTTGCTGCCTGCAAACGGCCTCTCTGGCTCCTGATCAAGCTAATTAACGGCCATGATCCCAGAGACTCAGAAACAAATCTCGAAACCCAGCGGCTTTTGGCAGAAATGCATCTGGACTGCATACAAGGTGGCCGCCTCCTCAGAGCTTATTGGAAGGCCAGGTATGAGCCAGTGGTGACGGGGCAACTGCAATCTCATAGGAAGGGGGGTGGTACTAGCTCGTCCTTCACACCCTACCGAGGTTATGAGTTGCCCCCCATGAGCGATTTTCCGGCACGGCTATGGCTCCAGAGGCAAAAGGACTTAATCCAGAGCCTGGCAGCTTGCAGCAGAAAAGTAAATGGATCATGCATTAAACTACAGTGCCATGCCTCCCCGGGAGGGATAGGGTGTTGCTCCCTTCTGCCTTTTCCCCACCTGGCAGCAAGGTGGCCGCCGCCTCAGAGCTTATTGGAAAGCCAGGTATGAGCCCGTGATGGTGACGGGGCAACTGCAGTCTCATGGGGAGGGGGGCGGTACCGGTTCATCCTTCACGCCCTACTGAAGTCATGAGTTGCCCCTCACGAGCGGCTCTCCAGCAGAGCCATAACACCAGATGCACAGAAACCAATCTTATAATTATCTGGCTCTTTGCAGAAATCCAACATTGCAAGGCAGGTATTGCGGCCACGCGAGATTATATGTTTCTCATAACCAGCTATAGAAAACAAAGTATTTGACATTGCCTTTTCAGCAATTCTAATTGTTGGGGGGAAATTCTAAACAATAATGGTGCATCTTTTGTAGAAATAATGAATGTAATCAATGTAGAGAAGAGTTAAGTGGAAATCATCTGCCTCACAGGCATTGGGAGGGGTAGGAGGGGAGTATATTGGGGTTCTTGGTGGTGAAAAATGAGTACTGGTGAAGGGAGAGGTGTTTGATCATTGTATGACTGAGACTTAAACCTGAAAGCTTAGTAACTTTTCCCACAGTGGTTCAATAAATAAATATAAGAATGTAAGTCAGTCTTATGGGAGCAAATAAGAGGTGAAATATATATGTATAGTCTAGTGACTGGTAGGGCAAACAAGTGAATTAATAACAATCATTTTATTGGAATCTGTACTGAAAAATAGGAGCAAAGAAGGAAGTTGGAAGATTTTTTTCCCACAAACCTCAGTATTTTTTTGTTTGTATTGGAAGATAGGGAGGGTGTCTTGGAACAAAAGCCAGACATATTTTCTTCCCATTATAAAAGATTCAAGTTCTCTCAGTTCAGTTTTTTTTTTTTGCTCTTGAACTACAGAAAGCTACTCAATGAAACTGAGGAAATTTGATGTAGCAGAATCCAGGCTGAAGTTAGTTTGATTATGAATTGATAATTATATAAACCACAATGACAAAGTAGCAAGATTTCTTTTATATAATTTTTTGGTTTGCTTTAGGTACACACATAGTGGTGTGTAAGTCAGGGCTTACTTCTGACTTTGTGCTCAGGGATCACTCCTAGAAGTGCATCCAAGGGGACCATGCAAAGTGCTGGGCTGGCAAGGGCCAACAAGGTTGGCTGTGTGCAAAGCAAGCACCTTAAACCCTGTGCTACCTTTTGGTCACTTTTTTTTTTTTGCTTTTTGGGTCACACCCGGTGATGCACAGGGGTTACTCCTGGTTCATGCACTCGGGTATTACTCCTGGTGGTGCTCAGGGGACCATATGGGATGCTGGGAATCAAACCCGTGTTGGCTGCATGCAAGTTGGCCACTTTTTATACAGTTTTAAAATGTTTATTTAATTTTAGCTTTTGGGATATCCCTGGTGGTGCTCAGGGACTACTCCAGGCTTTGTACTTGGGAGGTTGCTCCTGACCAGAGAACCGTGGGATGCTGGGTGCTGAAACCAGGCATGTTACATGCAAAGCATATGTTCCATACCAACGAGCAGGTTCTCCAATCTCAATACTTAAGTTTCAGCCAATCAATCAATTATTATAGTGTTGGAGATGGAACCCCACACCAAGGCAAGTACTTTACTGCTGAGTTACATCCCTGGTCCTTTATACATTTTATGATTCTGATTATGATTATTTTTTGCCATTCCCAGCTGTGCTCAGGGCTTGATTCTGACTCTGTGTTCAGAAATCTCTCCTGGTGGTGCCAGGGATAGAACCAGAATTAAGGCAAGCACCTTAAACCCTGTACTAGCTCTTTAGCCGCAATCCTTTAAATTTTAGTTGTTACATTTTTCTAATGAGCACTGTAGCACTGTCCTCCCGTTGTTCATCGATTTGCTCGAGCGGGCCCAGTAACGTCTCCATAATGAGACTTGTTGTTACTGTGTTGGGCATATCAAATATGACACGGGTAGCTTGCCAGGTTTTGCTATGCGGGCGAGATATTCCTGGTAGCTTGCCAGGCTCTTTGAGAGGAGCAGAGGAATCGAACTCGGATCAGCTGTATGCAAGGCAAATGCCCTATCCTCTGTGCTATCACTCCAGCCCAGATTCTAATGAGCTAAAACAATAATTTAGTTGTTAGATTATTTTACTGAGTTGTTATGTTATTTTACTGAGGTTTATAAGACTGTACATGTTTTAGGTTTGACATTAAAATTAAAAATATTTTTTGGGGCCATACTTAAGTTATTTTCAGGAATCACTCCTGGCTGTGCTCAGAGGACCATATGATGCATGGGGGAAACACAACTGGCTTGGCTGTGTGAATGGCAAGTGTCTTAACCCCTGCAGTATCTACTGGCCCTGTAAATGTTTTGGGGACACAATTTCATACCTCTTCAAAAGAGTATGTCATCACACCACACTCAGTACCAAAGTGTCTAAATAGTTTTTAAAAAAATAATTTTCACAGTTTCATCTAGGACATTCTTTTGTTGATTATGACAATGGAAAATGTGACTTACCAACAGGGAACTTGGCTATAGAACGAGTGGTTGCATATTTGAGGGAAGGATGTTCAATAAGATAAATGTAGCAGGGTAATGGAGCCAAGGAAGTCTGAAAAAAAATTAAAACATCTTTGTTATTCTGTAAGAATCTTATGCTTCTTTCCCTTTCCTGCTAGAATGTTAACAATGTGTCTTACTTCATTAACTTAGACTAATTTTTATGAAATATACTCTACCACCCAATATTTTTACAATTTGAAAATATACATGAATTACAGAAAATATTGAATTATGAGTAGTTTTATGGGAAAAATGTAAATGAGACAATTCTCTAGAATCATGACTAAAGAATATAAATGTTTCCTTCATAAAGAATCTGGTTATTTGGGAGTTGGAGTGGTAGGACAGTGGGAAGGATGTTTGCCTTGCATGCAGTTGACCTGGGTTTGATTCCCAGCATCCCATATGTCTCCCAGAGCACTGTCAGAAGTAATTCCTGAATGCAGAGCCAGGAGTAATCCCTGAGCATCGCTGGGTGTGACCCAAACAGCCAAAAAAAAAAAAAAAGAAAAAAGGAATCTGGTGGTTATTTTCACTGCTAGGCACAATTGTAGTTAATTTAGTAAAGAATTTTGTAGATTCTGATTTTCTGATTTATCCCTGTGGTCAAGGTCTCTATAGAAGTTGGATAACTCCCCAGCAGCCACCAGTCTGAACAAGGGTTCAATACAGTTTTGATAACAAGTCATCCAGGCTGCTCCCGTGCCTGGCAACCAAAGGATTCAGCTGCCCCCTTAATGAACAAGAAAGAATGCCTACATTATGCCTTCCTACAACTACTATCTATTGTCAAAAGTCACAGGGGAAAATAAGAACCCTGTCAAAATAATTGACCTTTACAATATATTAGGTATAAGATGGCATATTTGACATATTTATCTGATTTAAGGATTTTTAACAATATATGGGGATAAATGTTGTGCTATTTTATTTCATTTTATTAATTTTTTTTAGATTTTGGGCTACCCGAGGCAGTGCTCAGGGGCTCCTCTCGGTTCTGTTACTCTTGGAGATACTTGGGGAATCATACAATGAAGGAATTGAACCAGGCTGGCTACATACAAGGCAATTGACTTAAACCTTATACTCGCTCTCCAGACTATAGGCCAATGTTATAAAATGAGGAAAATAGTTTTGGGGAATTGAGTATTTTACCTAAAGTCAACGAATGAGAAAATCAGGATTTAAAACTAGGTTCCTCTGGCTCTGTGGGTAATACTCTTTTACAAAATATGCTAGTTCTCTGGAAGGACAGATAAGCTGTTCTACAGAAATAAGCACACAAATTATTATTATTTGATTCTATTTTTCTCCTCTCACTATGGGCAGTGGATGACTGAATTTTTCATTCAGATTTTTAATCACACAATGATTAGTTATGGGGTCAGAGAGAGTCAGTGGATAGGGCTGTTTTGAACTGCATGTGACTGACTGAGTTTCCATATGGTCTCCCAAGCTCCGTCAGGAGTAATTCCTCAGTGCATAGCTAGAATAATCCTGAGCATTGCTGGGTATGGCCCAACACCCTCTTCATCCTGCCAAAATGATTAGTTTATATGAAGTACTGAAAGAGCAGTTGCATGTTGTGGTATCTCAATTAAATGGAGACAAATAGCACTATTAAAGAGAGCCTATATTAAAAATTAGAAAAGTAAGTAGAGAGCCTATTATATAATCATTGGCCTTTAGTCAATTTCAAATCACTCTTTTCTTGAACTCTAACACTGTTAACTGAGATACTTCAACTACCTCATTTAAAATTTTGCCATTAATTTTACTCAGTTTTTCCAAATTACCTATAATTTGTTATATTTATAACTCAATAGATACAATAATCACAAAGCACCTTGTATGCTATTCATTGCATTATTTTGTGTATTTCCTCTCCTTTTCTCTTGCCTATCACCATTGCCTCTATTCTTGTGTTTCTTTCACTCCTTCAAATCTTCTGCCGTATCCTGTCCCCTCCCTCCTGACCACTTTCTAGTAATTCCATATCCATAACTGACTTTAAAGTAATGGTTCTATCTAACTTATACATTAATAATATTGACATTACCTTAATATAATGAGACATCTGAATTAAGAAGTCACTCTTGGAATCTTCAAGAATAAGAGTACACCCCATGTTAGAAGTAGTGTTGTGAAGATCAAAAATAATGTCATAGGAATCTTTTGGACCAAATAAATTATTTATTTCTTGAGCCCTTCTCACTTCATATGGCAAATCCTCTGATGTATTTTTGCTGTTATTAAGAAAAAGAAAAATATTAGAAAATCTGTGAATAAGATAAAATAAACATACAATATGAACACAGTGTATAAAAAAACTTAATGTTAAATTTTTAATTTAAGAAATCAGTGATGCAAGTGAAACTATTTGAAAGCTTTATAAATGAAAAATCACACTTTCTCCATTTGATTGCATGTAATATTGCAATGGCATAAAATTTATTTTTATGGCCATAGGAAGGGTATTTTAGATAGAATTTGCCATTTCACTTCAATTTTAAAACTTGTTCTTTAATTTAATCAATGATACTTTGATTAAATTAATTAAGTTCTGCACATTCTCAACTACTTATGGGGCTAGGTCATCAAACACAAGATATTTTTGTATTCTGGTTCTAATACAAACTTGGGTGCTCACAGAATCTAATTAGGTTTTATTAATTAAAGTTTAGGAATCACTGGTGGTGGTTTCTATATACTTATAGACCTTAATAAGATGCAAAATTTTGCAAGTATTTGCATGTATGTATTTTCTAGCATGAGGATCAATAATTTTTATTGAATTCTCAAATGAGTTTCTATCTATCCAATTCTCTCTTCCCACAATGGCTCGGATATAATTATCTTATGGTGCGAGATGATGGTCTAAGATGGTTTTTCTTCATTAATCTATAATTTCTCTATAATTTCCATTCCCCATTTTTGGGTAATATCTTTAAAATCTCTACAGCTTGAACCAGGGTAACACCTGCCTAGAATGTAATCAAGAATGTGGAAAAGTCAGTTTTTTATTGTGAAGTAAAAAACCAAGAAGATACAAGGAGCATGCTAAATGTAGAAAGAGGACAGAAAGAGACTATGGTATTGATGATACCACTGAGGTCCTGCACTATTCCTGGACAGCTAACTTCTATATTTGTGAAAATGAGAACTTTATTATTGACCCTAGCTTCTTAAAGGTGGGCTGCAACCCTCTAGGGGGTCATATCAATTAATATGAACATAGCAAAAAAATTGACAATAGTAAAAGGTTTCTGGAATGTGCAATTACTGCAGATTAATTCAAAATCAAATGTGCAATGAATCCAAGGTGTTTCTGGCAGTGCTTGTCAGTGTTACATTTCTTAGGAGAAAAGGGGTTGCAAGAGGAAAAATCTAAGGAAGTCCTGGTGTAAACCACTATTTACAGGTTTCGATGGTATTAATCAAACATAGTTCCTCATGAATATAAATATATATATATTTATGGATATATATCACTTGATCACTTGATACCCCGTTACTCATCATTTTGCCCGAGCAGGCACCAGTAACGTTTCCATTCATCTCTGTTGCGTGCTAGCGTAGCCCAGTGGTATCTGCTCGTTCTAGGAACATGAAGAGCTTCAAACCTATATATATATATATGTATATTCATGGATATATGATATATCACCATAGATACATAGATATATGTATATGTGTTTATATGTGTGTGTTTTATGCATTTCTTTTTATATTTATCTTAAAATTTAAGAAACAGTTTCAGGAGGTCTTCCAAACACAAACTTACCTGCTTCTAATTCTTTTCTACATAAGAGACAATATAAATCATCCTGTTGCTTAGAGCCAGATTTTACTTCTTGGTTTTGTTTTTTGACTTTTGGGCCACACCTGGTGGTGCTCAGATTTACTCCTGGCAGGGTTCAGGAGGATAAAGAGAACAATTTGGAATGCCAGGGATCAAACCTAGGTCAGACATATGCAAGGCAAGTGCCCTACCCACTGTACCATCTCTCAGGCCCCATCAGAGCCAAGGCTTGATGTCTTGAAAGTTAAAGGATACTTTGAGTTCTCATGCCAGGATTAGAGGTCTTGAGGGAGAGTTCCAAGGAATTAAACTGAAAAACAGGTGGGAACAAGCTCCTAAAGGATGTTATAAGTTATATTGTCACATAAATTTATTCTGAAATGGAGATTTCAAAAATTTCCAAAATTTTTCTTTTATTTATGTTTTTGTCTTGTTTTGGGGCCACACCTGTTAGTGTTTAGGGGTTACTCCTGGCTCTGCACTCAAGAATCACTCCTGGTAGTGCTCGGGGACTTCATGGGATGGCGGGAATTGAATCCAGGTCGATTGCAGGCAAAGTCAAGTACACTACCTGCTGTATCAGCTAGTCTAACTGTCCACAGAAGAAAGAAACTAAGGTAGTGAAAATGAATGGCAAGACCATATTTGTGAAATTTTTACAATTATTCACTGCTTCAACAACTGAAATATATAATTATAAATATAAATATATAATAATATAATATATAATATATTACCCAGAGGAAAGAGGAGGATAAGGGTTGTAAGATTTCCATAGGGAATTTAGTGGATAATGGTGAAATCTCAGTGGAGATGGAGAATACAGGAAAAGGAGGACTAGAGAAAGTTATTACTTTGTAAACCTCAAAAAAGTTTATAGCTACTCCAAGAGAGACCACTGCAACCTATAAATAGTGTTAAATATAAGAAAACAAATTTAATTTAAAAATGCTCTCACTGAAATACATACTGCTGATCGGTCATGACAAGAAAAATCCATTCTAGCCCATTTCAGACTTACTTGAGAAGTTAACAAATCATCTAAAGAAGTTACCTCCAATAAATTCTTACTTGTAACATGAATTGAGAACTATTTTAGGTGAATATGTTAACTTTAAATTTTAGGTGAATATGTTAACTTTAAATGTGTTGATATGGGCTGGAATGATAGTACAGAGGGGTAGGGCATTTGTCTTGCACACAGCCGACCTGGGTTTGATCCCCAGCGTCCCCAAGCACTACACAGAGTAATTCCTGAGTGCAGAGTAAGGACTTAAGCCCTGAGCATCGCTGGGTGTGACCCAAAAAGAAAAAAAAGTGTTGATATAACCTTAGATAGGATGATATAGCATTTCTGAAAAAGATTTATACAAGCAAATATGTAATTTGATATTTTAAGTGTAACTAACATTGCCCTGTTAAACATTTATTCCATAAAGTGAGGCATATTTATACTAAAACTAGTAGCCATCTTTTGATCTGTGGTGAGATTAAGCTTAGATATCTCTCTAAGTTCAAATCAGAGTTTATGAGAAAATTGTCACGTGAAGCAGTACCGAATTAGTTGTTACTGTGCATGTCTTATATTTGAGCTAGTAATGTGTAACTAGCTAGTAGTATGTGTGTATAAACTATTTAGTTTCCATAGTACCTGGAATAGTGCCCTAAGAAGAGTAGAAACTTTAATATTTTTAGGTAAATGAAAGAGAAAAGTGGCAAAAAAGTACCTTAGAGTTTATAGTAGAGATTTTCATTATGTAAAAAAAGGCATACCTAGAAAGTTAGAACTGGACTTAAATTCAGGGGACTGTATTTATCTATCATTGATTCACCACTGAAAATAATTATTCTACTCTTCAAATGAGAATGTTCCTATGCTTTCTGGTGGTGGGTATTTAATCACTATTTCACTAAACAAATATTAATTAAAATATCAAAATTTTCTTAACTAGAACCTGATGTACTACCATAAACATAGTTGAACAAAGTCATGGTGAGATACCTAGAAAGCTAAAAAATTTAGACGTAAGCATAGTGTTCTAATAATAGCTTAGCCAAGGATTATTAAATTCCTTTCTTAAAGACATGATTTAAAATAAAAACCTTTGTTATATATTGTCTCAGTTAGTGTAGAATGCATTTAAAAAGAAAAATAATTTAAGAAAGTCTGGTGCTTTAAAAAAAGTTTACAAAAGATCATGTGAGTGCCCAGTTTATATAACCGTGTCATTCATAATGGAGTTATGGTTAAAAGTGAAAGTGATTTTATTCATAACAGCAGCTATACATACAGACACGAGAATTATACAACATATGTGTTCTCTTACACACAAGCCACTTTTCACACTCACATGTGAATACAGCACAAAACACAGTCTTACCCAAGATTTCCAAGGTCAAAAACTCGATTCAGGTCACAGTCAATGTATCTGGTACACTTCTTCACTGCTCTTGGGTTGGTGATAAATGGGTTTACCTCCAGTCCTGTTCTCTGAATCTCAGAGCCATTCTCTAGCCAGTGCTTAACTAGAAATATTCCTGATAGCTCATTTCCATGAGTTCCTCCAAAGATAGCAACCCTTTTTATAGGCTCTTCAGCAACATGACAAGAAGTCATTTTGTCAAGTAGTTTTGTCTTACTTCTGTAATTCAGAAGACAGAATAAGAAAACAATGTCTTAAGAAAGACTTAGGAATTTAAGTCTAAATGGTCCTTTAACCAAAGTCCAGAGTTCTCTTGGAGTTTGTTTTCATCTTCTGTTACAAGTTCTGAGTCAGTCAGTTTATTATATGGACACTCCCTTCTTTAGCCCTGCCCTTTACCATATTTGGATTAAAATATGCAAAGATCAACTAGAGATACTATTGCTTACTTTAACTTCTCACTCCCTCAAATGGCCAGTAGATCAAAGTGCAAGAATGAATTAGCATCGTATACTAATGCAATAATTTCACCAGAATATTATCTAATAATGTAAATTATTAATCATAATGATTTATAATAACTAACAAAATTTTATACTTTCCTAATCCTCAAAAACAGAAAAAGAACAGGTCCACAATGTATACATTATTATTTAGCATTTACACTCCCACTCACATTTAAAACTATTTCTTTTTTGAAATGAGTTCAGGCACTTTTCATCTGAGGGCCTTTGAATCTCATCTCAATAAAGAGATCTCTTGGAGCTGGTGCTCTTTCTGTCAAAATGCTTTTTCATGATCAGAGTCACAAGGACCAAATCAATGAACACCAAGACTTAAAAAGTTAATTAAAAACATGCTTTCATCTTTTCCTCATAAAAAATTGGTAATTCTGTGTTGACTTTATTAGGAATCTTTCTAAATTTTTTTGTCCCTATACTGAAGAAAAAGCAACTGTTAGTAATTTTAAGTCTTTGTAGTGATTTAAAAATGTCTTGAGGCATGCTCTATATACAAACATTACATGAGTTTGTACAGACATAGACCAACTTATTGGAGACAGGGATTCTCCATGGGAATGTGTTACTCAAAAGGGGGTTCTTATCAGGGAGCTATCTGAAATGCTATGATGAATACAATTTTTGGAGAAAGAGCTCAGGGCTATATGTGGTTTTATTTTATGTTCCATCATCCAGAAAATCAAATACATTCAAGTACTGTAAATATTATGTGCTGGTAATGCTAGATTTTTTGATAGGGATATAAGAAGATTTGTATAAAATTCAGTACAACATCAGAGTAGTTTACCTTGGTTTATTTGTGTCATCACTTTGTAAGACAGGTGGGTTAGTTATTGATATCCCCAGAACAGAGGAAAGAGATATTAAGTAACCTGTTAAAGCTTCACAGTTACTAGTAGAAACCTGGGCCTGGTATTCAGTTTTCTGATTCTAAGTTCAGTTGGTTATTCACAGAATGGTTATTTTTGGCCTTCCCCTAAGTTCCACTTTTGCTCTTTTGGAATTCACATAAACAGCTATTACGGTGTCTTTAGGAAATAAGCATATAAACAAAACACACGATGGAAACATAAAATGTGAATTTTTCATATTATTGAATACACCAATTCCTATGTTTTTCCTTTAAGACAATTACTCTGCAGAGATGAAGTAATAAAAATTTAATTTGCACATTAAAATTACTGTTCAAAAATGCAAAAAGCCCCTGGAGGCTTTGATTTTCCACCTGCATCAATGTACACTAAACATTTTTGTTGTAGAGATGAGGAAAACAAGTGCAAAGTAAACAGATAGTTGTATTGTTTAGTTAACTTTAGTTTTTAGGCCAGTAACTGGTGAATCATTAACACTTAACTATGCTTTGGCTTTGTTTCTTTTCTGCCGTTTTGTGGTTAGTTTTGTTCTTTGCCCTGGTCTCCCTGAAACACTGCTTCAGTGATTTACTTGTAGCTGGCACAAATGACTGCATTTCGAGGTCTGTTTTATGGAATTTTAACAGATCAGCACATTTAACATTCATAAATGGTTTTCCTAGCATGCCTAAATGAATAAAATTTTTGAGAGTTAATGAATTGCAGCAATTCTGTCCTATACTTACCTTGTTTCTTATGTAGAGTTTGTCTTCTGCAGAAAGCTTTACTTTAGAGAAAAAGGCGAGTATTTCCTTAGAACTAGAGCAACAGAAGCTTTTCCTACTGTTATACCAAGTTAACTTCCAAAAGATTTTTAACTCTCTGTTTCCCAAAGTATACTACATTTTTTGTGTTTCACAAAATGCCATTATTTTCTTAGTCTAGTTCTTCTCTTGAGAGTTCAGAGAACAGATAGTATGCAAAGTGCAACTGTTTTTAGTTGTCACTGTCTTACTAGTAGGTCAAACATTTAATGGTTTAAATAGTACAAAAGAATACATTTAACAACTTTCAGCATCACAAATATTTTGTGGGAATAGTCATGCCTGTTTTATGACCAAGCTAATATTGCTTAGAACAAATATTTCATAGGTGTCCAATATATTAATATTAGAAATTTTGTGGGAGGCAAATTAGGCTTGTTTACGAAATAGTCTGATTGGGGGAAAAGTGGGAGAGTCTTCTCTCCAAAATTATACACAAGGTGTCTTATACATAACGTGGTTAGCCAGAGTCATATAATTAAACTACTCACTACTTTAATATTTTTCTTCTCTTGTGGATCTATTGCTACCAGTCCTTTAATCAGCTTTCCAAGTAGAAATAATCAGAGTAAGATATGGGGAAAATAGATACAATTATAATCTGCTAGAAAATATTCTAATTTTTCATGTTTGCATTCCTTGTAATACAGCACAGGATATTGTTAAAAGTGGTTTAAAGTATTTTTTTTTATAATAAAGTTATTCAAGTGCATTGTGTGGGCATTTTATATATATGTGAATGTACATAATGTAGCACTGCACTGCACTGTCCTCTCATTGTTCATTGATTTGCCCAAGTGGGCCCAGTAACATCTCCATTGTGAGACTTGCTGTTACTGTGTTTGGCATATTGAATACGTCAAAGGTAGTGTAATGTATCAGCTTAAAATCTGCTTCCCTAAAGCTTTTATTTAAAAAAAGTTTTTTGTTTGTTTGTTTTGTTTTGTTTTGGGACCACACCTACCTTGCTCAGAGGCTATTCCTGGCTCTGTACTTAGGAGTGACCCCTAAGCGCTCAGAAGTGGTGCCTGATATTTGAAGGAGGGTCACACTAACTGCAGCCACAGGCAAGGGAGGTAAGCCCCTTATCTCCTGTATTATCTCTCTTTCCAGTCATACTCTAAAACATTAATCACGAAAAAAAATATTCTAATGAAACCAAAATGAATAACAAGTCTTCCCAGACATTTTTATAGTTTGAAATTTTCCTTTTACCAGTTTATATAAAAAACCTATTCCTTCAAAATCCAAAATTCCTTCAATGCACAGGGGTTACTCCTGGCTCATGCACTCAGGAATTACTCCTGACAGAGCTCAGGGAACCATACGGATGCTGGGAATTGAACCTGGGTCTGCTGCATGCAAGTCAGACACCCTACCCGCTGTGCTATTGCTTCAGTTCCCTCCTTCAAAGCTTTAATCTGGCATTCAAGGTCCCCAATTACCTGGTCTCAGTTTACCTCTAATCCTCTTTCCTAATACTTCTGTATTTGATCAAACTTTCAAGAAATGATTATATCTCCTGAGCACTGTTCTAGCAATCTGGGGGGTTTGTTTTGTTTTGGAGCCACACTGAGTAGTGCTCAGGGATTACTCCTGGCAGTCTCGGGGGTCGATGTGGGATGCCAGGGATCAAACCCCTGTCAGCCTTGAGCAAAGCAAGCACCCTGTCAGCCTCAAGCAAAGCAAGCTACCGCTCCATCACCCTGTCCTAGCTATTCACTAAAAACCCTTCCTCCATCTCTGAATCCCCATCGACCTTTCCCTCTTCACCTAGTCTTGTCTTCAAGTAGTTTGAAGTAACAACAAAACAAGTTGTTTGAATTTGAATACAGACAGAACCGGAATGACCTATCTGGTAAAGTACCCTACCCCATAAATGACAGCTACTGTTGCTGAAGAAAGGCTACATTTCCGAAATGTTTACCGTGTCACGACCTGTTCATTCTCAATTTATTCAAGGCAGTTCGGTCCTGCTACTGCTCTTCTACGGAGCAGGGAAATGTAGGCCTGGAAGGACAAATAACTTGTCCCAGATGAAAGGGCTAGGAAACGACGCTCGTGGCCTGGAGCCAGAGCTCTGGGTCAGGGTCACGGCACCATCCCGTTTCCGTTCTGAGATTCCAGTTGTTTGGGTCACCCAAGAACTCAGCCTCCCGCCGGTTTTCCACTGGTCTTAATTCCCCGACTGATCTTAGAACACAGCATCATCACTCAAGTACATTTATTCTGAATATGAAAACAACTCGTCATAATACAAGTACAAGTAACGACACAGCAACATCTCTGCGGCTGTTTTTTTGTGGCCTCTTAAGTCATTGTTTTCTAGGTGTACACACTCCTGGGACCGTCTAACTGACCCCGGAGTGTGAGAGCTGCTTGAAAGACTCGCCCCAGACACACCATCCTGACCAAGCTGGGGCAGCGGCTGGCTGTCTTGTGAGGACCTAAGTTGGGAAGGCGCTTTAAGGTTCCACTTTCGTTCTATGGAGAGTGGAGAGCGCGTGGGTGTTCTCCACTCGGTGACCAGCGAACAGACGACGCCAATTGGTCCCAGTGCCTGCGCCCGTGAGGCGAGCCTTGCGCTTGGAAGAGCGCATGCGCAGGGCTTGAGTTCCCGCGTCTTTTCAGTCGCGAGATCTCGGTGGCCGAGTGGCCCTTTCGGCGGCGGCTGGAGGCTGGCGGCTGGCCGAGGTGAGGAAACTGAGGGACTCAGCCTGTGTGCGGTGTGGGCAGGAGGGCCGAGAAGGGGAAGATTGTGTGTTGTCGCTTGTTGCCAAGCTCCCCCAATCCCTGGGTCGGGAGAGCAATGAGAAGGGGACAGCGCCCGGCCTGGCCGTCCGTCTCTGCGGTGCCTGCCACTCGAGGGTGCGGCCGGGGGCGGGGGCGGGGCGGGCCGGGTGGGGTGCTCAGTGTGTTCACGCGTGTGGAGCAGCGTTTTGTGTGTTCACGCGTGTGGAGCAGCGTCTTGTGTGTTCACGCGTGTGGAGCAGCGTCTTGTGTGTTCACGCGTGTGGAGCAGCGTCTTGTGTGTTCACGCGTGTGGAGCAGCGTCTTGTGTGTTCACGCGTGTGGAGCAGCGTCTTGTGTGTTCACGCGTGTGGAGCAGCGTCTTGTGTGTTCACGCGTGTGGAGCAGCGTTTTGTGTGTTCACGCGTGTGGAGCAGCGTTTTGTGTGTTCACGCGTGTGGAGCAGCCACCGCCCCACTCAGAATAATGCCACTGGGGTTCACCCGCTCTGGGTCACCGCGCCCAGTGCCAGGGTCCCGGGCGGTGGTGGTTTGCTGAAGTTTGTTGCCGTGAAGTGTCCTAGCCCCTGCAAGCCCGTTCAGAGTTGGGCCGTCAGCTACCGCGGTGCTGTGCTAAGGAAAACGAGCAGGAGCCGGTTCTGACTTCTCGAACCGCGTGGGACAAGCGCCTGCGCAGGCCTTCGAGTTCCCGCGGATTTTCAGTTGCGAGATCTAGGAGCCTTACGTTCAGTTACGGAAGAAACGGACGTCAAAAATGTGTTCACTTAGAATCATTCATGCTAGGAATTTTTAAAAAATGCACATTCCTGTAAGAAAAGACAGTTTCTGAAAAAAGTTTTTTATCATTTTTTTTTAAAAAAAATCATTGATCTACAATTTTGTGGAATTCCGGGAGTTAAGTTTCACTCATCTGTGTCTAAGGGTCATCACATGCACAATCCATAACGGCTCTCTCATGTTCGGGGCATAAACACAGTAAGAGAACAACAGATGTTCAAAGAGATCAGATTGGAGGAATTTGTCTCTGGAATTGAGCTTCCCTTACCTGGGAAGGAAGGATGGAGGGGCATTGGTGGACAGAAGCCGTGGTGGATGGGTTATCGGAACAATGTGTGCATGCGGAAGATGCCAGTTTTGTGATCACTAAGAATGATCACTAAAAATGATAAAATATAAAGACAGGCCAGAATGTAAAAGGAAGAAATAAATATCACTTGTGGATAATAAAATAAAATTACTGTCACTGTCCTCCCATTGTTCATCGATTTGCTCGAGCGGGCCCAGTAACGTCTCCATTGGAGACTTTGTTGTTACTGTGTTTGGCATATCGAATACCTCATGGGGAGCTTGCCCGGCTCTGCTTGTGAGGGTGAGCTTGCCAGGCTCTCCGAGAGGGGCGGAGGAATCAAACTCGGGTCAGTCATGTTGGCTGTGTGCAAGGCAAACGCCCTACCACTGTGCTATCGCTCCAGCCCAATAAAATAAAATGGCATAATATAAGTTTTCACGGTCACGGTCCTCCTGTTGTTCATCAGTTTGGTCAAGCAGGTCCAGTAACGTCTCCATCGTGAGACTTGTTGTTACTGTGTTTGGCATATTAAATACATCACGGTTAGCTTGCCAGGCTTTGCTGTGCCGGCGAGATACTCTCAGTAGCTTTCCGGGCTCTCCAAGACGGGCGGAGGAATCGAACACGGCTCTGCCAGGCCGGCTGCGCGCAAGGCAAATGCCCTACTGCGGTGCTATCGCTCCAGTATCGGCTGGCTGGAGCGATATAAGTTTTAAACAGACTTATTCTATCCAACTTAAAACTAAAGGTTTGGAAACAGGCTTTTTAAATTTTTTAAATTTTTTTTATTAGTGAGACATCATGGGGTACAGTTGCAGACTTACAAATTTTTGTGCTTGGGTTTCAACTATACAATGATCAAATACCCATCCCTCCAGCAGTGCCCATTTCCCACCATCACGGATCCCAGTAGCCCTCCCCCTCATCCGCCCCCCCCCCCCCCCTCCACATCCCACCCTGCCTCTGTGGCAGGGCATTCCATTTTGTTCTCTCTCTCTTATTGGGTGTTGTGGTTTACAAAAGAGGCAATGGGTGACAATCATGTTTGGTCTATAGTCTACCCTCATCATGCTTCTCCCATCCTGGGAGGATCCTCCCAACACCTTTATTTGGTGTTCCCTTCTCTATCTGAGCTCCCTGGAAACAGGCTTTTTCTTATCTCTTCCAAGTTTCACTTCTATTTATTTATTTATTCTG